GGACACCCTTAAGGCACAGTGTTGCTTATCTGAGATTCAAGTCCAGCTGGTGTCCTGTTTCCCCCCACCCCACACCCAGGGTCTGAGGTCTGAGGTCGCCACTCAGATCCCCCCTCCAGGGACATCAGCTGAGCGGGTGCCTGTGGGGCCTTGTTGAGTGACAGAGGATAAGGTCATTCCTCAGCTTCCTTCTGTGTGGTGTTCCCATGGGCAAAATGTGTTGGAGGCCAGGTCAGAATCACTGGCCACCCACCTGCTGAAGGCTGCACGCCCTCCCCCTGGGGAGGCTGAGGCCAGGGCAAGTAATGAGAAGACGTCTTGGCGACTCACCCTTCCTGCAGAACAAGGCTGCTCAGAGCGCTGAGAACTCTTCGGATTTGGGGCCGGTCTGCTGGGCCTCAAGGAGGACCCCCAGCTGCGGGTTAATGTGATGTTCTATCTTTGGGTTCTTTGAGCTGCAAGTGGCAGAAACCAATTACCTTGGGAGGATTCGCAGGCTCTTGACGCTGAGCAGTTTCAGAAGTTGAAGTGGCAGGGCTTACCTAGCTCCTTGCCCGAGCTCTGCCTTCTGGCAGCTGAGAACCCCGGGGCAAACCTCGGTGAGGAGGCAGGGAGCGCCCTCTGCCGGGGGCGGGAGGGGGGGCCGCTGAGGCCTCACAGCTACTGCTCACGCCCCACGGCCTTCCTAGCATGAGATTTTTTTAAAGATTTTTTAAATTCAGGGCCCTCCCTGGTGGCACAGCAGGTTAAAGCGCAGCACAGCAAGTGAGCTGCAGCTGCTTCAGCGCGAGTTCGATCCCCGGCCAGGGAGGGACCCCCCGGGCACAGCAGACCTCTCCTGTCTCCCCACTGCTCCCCTCAGCAGTGTACTTCGTCAGTCTGCCTGTTCTGCTCCCCACTCTGTCTCTGCTGAATCCTCTCGCCACCCCTGCACCTCTGGCCTGTACCCCAGTTCTATATGCATAAATAAAATAAATCTTCAAAAAAATTTTTTTAATAAAAGATTATTTATGCAGAGAGCCCCGCCATGCTGTGCCCTAACCCTGTGGCCCGCCAGGGAGGCCCCAGCTTTTAAAAACACAACCTTCACTGGTAGGACAGAGAAGCCGCCCATGGCTCCGACTTTTCACTTATCAAAATGACGATTTTTCACTTATAAAAATGAGGCCAACGATCGCCTTTGGAAGTGTTTCATGATGACAGGTGTCGCACTCGTCTCTTTGCACCGCAAGGTGGTATCACGACAAAGTCACGGCTGACGTCAGCACGTGCCCACCGCCGCTCAGCGGGCCGGAGGTCCGGGCCCAGGTCTGCCCGACGGCCCCACGGCCGGGAGCAGCGTGGCCAGGCTCCTTCTGGTGAGGAAGCCACGTCCAAGCTCGCAAGGTGGTGTTCAGTGCCCCTGGTCGGGGGATGTTGGCAGAGCGCTTGCCTGACCTGGACTGGCATCTGGACCCGGATACGAGGGGCAGGGAGAGCACGTGCGCCCTGGGGAACGTGCTCGAGCGCCGGGCCTGAGCTCCAGGAACGTGAGGAAATAGGTCACGCGAGCAGGCAGCCGTGCCTGAGCGAGGTAGCCAAAGAGCTCATCGGGAGAAGACGGGCTGGACGCGAGGGCGCGGCCATCTGGGGCTGGACCGGGTGGTCCAAGAATTGCAACACCAGACACGGAGCTAGAATAAGTCAGTGCGCTGCTGTCACAGCTGGGTAATGTGGGTGTGTAAAGAGCACCTGCAGAATAGAGACTCGTGGCGTGCAGGACACGGCGGTCGGCCCTCCGGTGCGTCCTTCACGGGCACCCCAGGCCCCGACCCATCACAGGGCCACCGCGGGACTCGGGCCTTCCTTTCCTTTCCAGCTGCAGGCCGAAGCCCCCTGATCCCTTTGGCGTATGGGGGCCCCCACATGGCGCCTGACTCCTCCAAGCCCATCTGCCCCCTTTCCACAAGATAAGCTCTACAGTGAGACGTGACACGTTGGGTGTGGACACGCTGCCCAGTCTGTCGGGCGGAAGCAGGCGGCAGACCCAGGCACAGGGGTGGCGGTGGGCGGCGGGAGGCCAGGCTGGCCCCGTCCGCAAATCTGCCACAGCCCTTGGTCCGCCGCTTCGACACGTCTGTGCGTGGGGAGCCAGTTTTGCGTGACGCCGTGCTTTGTCGACCCCCTGGGTCAGTCCGCCGCTCCGGGAGCAGCCGCACGGGGCAGAGGCCTCTCATTTTTACACGAGGGCAGCCGCTGTGCTCCTGTGTGTGGCTTCCGTCTCAGGGCGCTAGAGGTGACGGTGCGAGTGTGGCCTTAGGCACAGATTGGGGAAAGCTGTCAAAATGCCAGGGAGGAAGCAGTTTGGTTTTGTGGCCAGATTTGTCTCTGACCAGCAACCCTGCAGCTGCATCCCGACGGCAGCCCATGCAGTCTGTACCTCCACGACCAGGTTAATGCCCCAGATGTGACACCGGGGGTCGGGGAAGGCAAATAAGCTTTGCTGTGGATCAGATGGCAAGGAGACAGGAGACAAACTCAAATCGGACCCCTCTGAAGAGAGGGACACACCTGTGATGCCTGTAGACCAGGGCACAAGGGTGGAGAACATGGAAAGTGGGTTGGGGCAGATATGTGGATTTGGCTGAGGGCCACCCATGGCTGAGGCCGCCCGTGGCTGAGGCCGCCCGTGGCTGAGGC